CCTGGAACAGGCTTTCTTGTGCACCACACTGTCAACTGTGTTGTGCCTTCTGCTTTGGTTCTCAAATTCGACATTGGCCTTGCTGCATTGCTGCAGCGGTACGGCGCTCACAATCCTGGATCGAGGGCTTGCCAATGGGGTGTTGGGGTATGTGGTGTCATATGCTGGATTGGTATACAGCGTGTTTGGTGTGTTCAATGAACAACAGCCACCCTCTGGCCTGGCTTGAAGACCTGTAGCAATCGATGGACAAAAAGTCCTGTCGTTTGCCTTGAGATCTACCGTCAGTTGTGGCAACAAGCCCTTCTCTGTGGCTTTTCTTTGCATTATTAACTTGGTCTGTCTTAGTTTGCATGCAGAACAACACGCTGCAGTCAAGCAATCCATCTGCACAATTTTCCGGTGGGCTAAAATCATTTTGATCCCTGCCCCCATACCCTGAGTTGTACCAGACAAGGAGTTGTTGATGAGCTCAACAGTGCCAGTTCTTGTGTTCCAGGTGTGACCTGAATGGAGTTCTTCAAAAGAACTGTTCATCTACACCCATGCTACCAAACTGGGTCAAGATGCTGGACACGATGCTGCACAAAGTGCTGCGGCCCACCCACCTGATGACATTGAGAGAGACTTGCTCAGCGATCGGTCCAACATTGTAAACTTGTCAGCCCCGCCCAAAATGGAGCTCTGCTTGGCTGCCTCCACCTCCTCAAAAGCCTTCTGGACAGCAGCAAGCAACCCAGCATACTGGGCATGAGACAGCGACAGGCCCAGCTTGTCAGACTGTCCACTGCAGGCAATCTCTGCCATCTCTGCAATCATTGTCTCCGACAAGTCAACAAGCTTCTCTTCTGTCCCCTGGGAGACCCCTTTCTCCACTGAACTCTTGCATTCCTCCTCTGAGGAACTGTACTCCAAGACAGAGTCTTCATCGTCACCACTGCGCAAGGGCACACCTGCCAGATCCTCATCCACACTTGCACTTAATGCCCTCAGCCGGGTGGTCAGCACCTCGTTGTCAGCTGCAAGTCGGGAGACATCCGACTCCAGTGTGGACACAGTCATCTTCAGCCGGACCGTCTCTGGACCAGATGACTCATCCAGGTGCTGTTGCAGCTCATTCACCATGGCACCCAGGCTGTCGCGCTCTTCCTCTGCACCCTGCAGGTCTTGCTGGCAACTCTGCAGCTCGGCCTTCAGGTCGCTCAGGGCTTGCTGACACTTGGCCTTCTGGGATTCAACTTGGGACAATTGCAGCTTGAGTTGATCCAGCTCCTCGGTCAGCTGCTTGTTCTTCTGTTGCATGTCGGAGTTTTGCTGACGGAGGTTGGACAAGACAGTGTCCATGGTAGTTGACCTGCTGCCGTCCAGGCTGAGCCTGCTGAGTGACGACCTGCGGATGTGTCTTGTTGGCAGCTGCTCCAGCTCAGCTTTGAGACGGGAGTTCTCAGCCTCAAGAGTCTCACACTGTGCGGCCTGCTCTTCCTGTTCCTGGAGCTGCCACTGCGTTTCTTGGAGTTCAGATTTACACTTATCCAAAGCTGACCTGGCCACACACCCAACAATCGTTTCAGACACAAGCTAAAGACAGAACACAAGCTGCAATGACCATGACACCACCAACAAGCAGGCCCCATCCTGACTGAAGCCCTTATCAAGTGGCCAGTTGGCTGCTCCTGGACTAGTACAAAGTGCACCCAATGGCGGCGGTCATCACTGGTGTCATACCCACCGCAGATCGTCCAGCTGCTTCAGAACTTTTTGCTCATTATCTCTTGATATCTGCAAACGGGCTGTGAGCTCGCGATTGGTAGTCTTCAAGCCTTCCATTGTGGAAGAGCGTTCGTCAGTTTTCCCATCAGACCTGGTTGCTGATTCACTCTTCGCCATCATGACCTGGAACTTCATTTCTTCAAGCTGGGCCCTCAGCTCCGAGTTCTCTTTAACAGCCCCAACATTATCCTGCAAAACAGAGGAATCCAGACAACTTTGCACGACGTCCATGCACGTCCACCATTCCCACCAAAAGTAATGCGCTCTACCTGCGCTGCCTTGAGACAAGGTGCAGATGCAATTCACAATCACAGTACCCACTGTGATGTGATATCCACCATGATCCCCTGAAAGCAATGCTGCCACTTGGCTGATCTGTTAATTCATGCAATGGAGCAATGCAAGGGTCAAGGCCCGTTCGACTTTCAAGCAAGGCCAAAATTTTGGTCATCGGCTTGCGCCAGCGATGTCAGTACCTCACACACACTGCTCAACCTCCGGATTTTCTCTTTGAGCGCTTTGTTCTCCTGCGCAGCAGAATGCAGCTCTCCATCTTTGCCTTTGCGGGCAGCCACCTGGGGACAAAATCCATTGCCCACCTCAAAAAGCGAGCAGACCTTCACAACCATTGCAATCCCCACGTGCAGCTGTCACCAGAGGGCAACGTACCTCATCAGCACTGTCCACTGTGCACCACAAATAGCAGGGTTGCTAATACACTTGGTCCTAGTGCAGGGCACACGCAGAGAGCGCCTCACGATCGCCCAACAGATGTTACAGAGCAAGGACATTTTCATTGCACCACACGGGAGACAAATTTCCAAACTGTGGCCAACAACGGAGGACTGGGCCAAGCCCCATTCTCACCAGCTGGCCTCTCAAGTCGGCCAACCGCGCCTTCAAGTCTGAATTCTCATCCTGGACGTTCCTGAGGCTGCGCAATTTGTTCCACAGGGCTTGATTCTGGACCTGCAATTTGGCCACCGCCTCCTCGGGCGCCAGGGAATCCGTGCTCCCGATGTCGCTGGCCAGGTCGCTGAGGGTGTCATCTGAAACCAACACAACACCGCAGGACTCCAGGCTCAGGCGCACGTCGCCTGGAATTCCAAGGCCTCAGGGCGAAAAGGGCGCAAGCGACCGAGCAAGGGCCCCCGACACTGGCCGTACGCCCAGAGAGCAGCACGCCGGCCCAACGCGCGCCGTGGCAACAGCCGCCCCCCCTTTCCCACGAAAGAGCCCCAGGGTGTTTCCGGCCACGGCATGCACCCCGAAAGGGCCGAATTCCAAGAGGCGCAACACGGCCCGGACGGAACCACGTGACATCCTCACACCCACGGCGGCGAGCGGCGTCTCATCGTCCCGGCGCAGCTCGCCGCCACGGGGCAGGAGAGCGGCATCGCGGTCCCCAACCCCGGTGCAATCCGCCGCGCGGCCCTACCCGAGGCGCGCATCAGGCTCTTGATCCTCGATCCCACCCCGGAGACCTGCGACCCCAGGTTGCGGGTCCTCTCCATAAACCCCTTCATCTCTGCACCGCCGTCCGATCAGCCTCCCCCCGCTCAGGTTCAGGGCCGACCGCCGGCGCTCATGCCTACGGGGGCCCCGTCCGCGGCGCCCGGGCCGCGGATCGACGCTCCCGAGCTACCCTCAATCCGTCCGGGCCTGGACGGACTGACCAGCGAGACTCGGCTCTGCCCCTGGCGGCGCTCAAACCCGCAAGCCTCGCCGGGTCGCGGCGCGGCGCGTGGGACGGGTGGGCACCCGGCTGCGTCCGAGGTACTGTGGACCCGAGGCCTGGGCACGCCGCTCAAACACTCGCGCCTGCCCCCCGGCTCGGCGCCCAATTGCCGTTGATAATGCCAGTTCTGAGCTGCTTTAGTCAACACGGGTCACTCCGGGGTCGGACGCGCCGGTGTGGGGATCGCGCGTGCGGCCTGCCATGGAGCTGCGCGGAGAAGCTAACGTGGCGCTGGGGTAACCAACGCACAAAGCCCATGTACTGCTCTGGCCTGGGTGGGCAACCTTGGTTGGCCACCCAGACCAACCCAGTGGTGTTTCCGCGCGTTCGCAACTCGGTCTGTTGCAAACTGGCAGGCCCCGTCTTTGCCGAGCTGGAACGAGTGCGGAACGAGTGCCGTCAGCCTCCCCGTCAATCGAGGATGCGGGGCGCTGCGCGCCATCAGCGCGCTTCAGAGCGAGTCGGGTGCAGCGCGGGCACGCCATTGGGGATGTCCCGTGCAGAGCATTGCCGTTCGGAGAGGATGGGGTGCTTGTCCGATGGGTAGGAGAGGTTGACCGCCGAGCGGTGCTTGCGGCGGGATTCTGGCGTCCAAAATGGATGAGCAAGTTCTCTCCATGTTCGGTTCGCCCAGCGCACAGTTGCACTGTTTGCTGCAAAGTGCCAAGGCTTGGTTTATCAGGGCTATTGTGAGCACTGCAGTCCCAGGAACTGGGCAGCGCCAACAGTTGCAGAAATTGTAGAACTTAAGGCGGGCAAGTCGGGACAGATACTGGTTGACCCAATCTGGCCTTAACCCCTGGCACCTATGCTGGCAGCCATTTCATCTAAGCGGCGCAGGCACAGGAGATAACAAACAGATTGCGCATCAACAAATTTCATGCCTCGTTATGGGATCATTTTCGCATGATCGCTTGCATGCACTGAGCAGAACAGGACAAACTAAGCAATGGCGTCTTTACGGCCGCATGCCACCTCATGCTGGGGTTAATAGGCAAGCATGTCAAAGTTTCAGACAAAATGCATTCGAACAGAAGCTGCAATGATTCCATGAGCATGAGAGCTATTTAACTCAATTCTCCTGGAGCACGCCCAGCTACTTCAAAGCGGCAGGACAGACAACTACCATAAACGTTGCTTCATTTGGACGCCGTCCATGGGGGAATGGACAAGGTTTCATTGGCATCCGGCCAACGGCGATGGCTTGCCGACAGCCACTTCCCAGTCCACAAGGCCTCCCGTCGATTCCACAAAATGCGCATCGCCCGTGTCCTGTCCATGCGTTTGCGGCTGGGCAGAATCTGGGAATCAGGCTGTCCAGTACTTTTAGGGTGCAGGGCTCCCGTACTTCTCCCGTACTTTTAGGCATTAGGAGACGCGACCAGGCGAGAATGTATTTGTCCTCTGTTTTCCGTGAGGATCCCTTCTTCCGCTGACAAGGGCAACGTGGGTCAGTATGTCAGTGGTATAAGGGTTTAGGCCGTCGAAACAAGGGATCTTCACAAAAGACAGGGCGACTAATTTCATGCCCAACCAGGCCACACAATGGCGCGCTCCAGTGCCAGTGCAGGCGTTCGCGTCGACAGCAACCTCACCAGGTAGAGGGTGGGCAAGCAGGCCGCGCAGCGCCGCATCCCCCGCCCCGCCCGCCTGCCCCTTGTCGTCGCCCTCCCGCGGCGCGTCCGCCGCCTGCGCCGCGAACCGGCAGAGCACACCGCCGGGGTCTTCCAGTCCGCGCGACGACACCAGCAGCTTGACGTCCACGCAGCGGCTGTTTGAGGCCGGTGGGCCGGGCCGACCTGGCAACCGAGCCGCAGGTTTGAGTGCGCGCACATCAGAGCCTGCCTGCACCTGGCTCGTGGGTCACTTGCTTCCGAAACCCTCCAGAATCGGCGCGTTTTGGGGTGGGAGCTGATCAGTGGGCCTCTTCTTGCAACGAGAAGCTCGTTGCTTTGCCGGCTTCGAAATTCCACGGACAGGAGCATTGCGCGGCCTGCGCGGCCCTGCTGCGCGCCCGTCCTCCGACCCTTTGGCGGCGTGGCGGCTTCCGCCGGCGCGCTGGGTCGCCTCGCTTTCGCGGGCGAGATGTCCAAGGATGGCCCACCCTGCCGTTCAGCTCCCCCCCCCACCAACCAACTCACTGTTCGTCTGCACCCCCTCCGGACTCGGCCCCATCCCGGGCGCGTCGACTTCCCCAGCCGGCGGCCTCACAGGCGGTGGCTCGCGGCATGCCCTAGGTCCCTCCTGCAGCAGCCCAAACCCCAAGTTGCATTACAATCTGCTGGCAATATTGACATTCTCAGCGGCGATGCCAGGCCTTTCACGACCGCCCAGTGGGCCCGGCACCTTGTCGGCTCGTTTCCGCTGCCGGCGCGAGCGCAGGAAGGCGTAAGCGGCGATCGCCGCTCCCGCCGCGAAGACCGGCATAGCGAGGACGGCCCTGGCGGTTGCGTGGTCCGGCCCCATGGCCGCAGGGGCATGGCGTTCCTTGGCGCTCAGTTCATGGGACGGGCGCCGTGCGCAGCTTCTCGCGGGCGCGCTCCGTGCCGGGCGCCTGGGTCCCGCTTGCCCGGGGGTCGGGGGCTCAGAAGGCGAGTCCGCATCATGCGTGTCGGTGGGAACGACGCAATACTTGTCGCTGGGAGGTGGGGGGGAGGGGGGTGGGGTATGGGAGTGTCCCTGATTGGTATAGCCACGGGACGGGTAGGGTAGGGTAAGGTAGGGTAGGGCCATGTGATGAGCGCCCGTTTCATTGCGCTGTAGATTATGTTAGGGGGGCGGTGCGAGCGCTGGTTGGATGTGTAGGGTTCGGCCGCAAATACTGGCTTTCTAGTGCAGCGAGCTGTGCTTCCACGGCTACCAGACGCTGCGAATAGTGCAACGAACATTGTGGCATGGAAAGGACCGTTGCCGAAAGTGCAGTTTGCAGATTGTTTTTGGCTGTTGCAAAAGTTGCCCCATTGCGCAGAAAATGGCGGCAGTCATGTTGAACAAAATGAGGAGGGCCAGGCCATTGTAAACCGTTCTGACCGCTCCTATAATTGAATCCGTCTTCGTCTCATCAATATTCAGCATCCAGGCCAGCCACCCGAGTAGGGTCACCAAGAGTTCCCCAATCCACTGGATGCCAGCGCCCAGGAACTTCACACCCCGCCCGACAGCGCCAGCCAACGCCGCCATGACGGCAGCCCCTTCCATGGGCGATCCCGGAAAGCTCATAGTCATCGCGCACCTCACCGCAGAGGTCTCCACCAGTTCCGTACGACGCAACGTCCTCACCGCGTCCACTCGTTGCGCGTACCGGCCGATCCGCACTCCCGTAGGGTGCTACGGCACTCCAACACCAGCGACGGCGCTCGCCTTGCGTAATGCGCCGCCCTCAGTCACTCCGGATCCCACGAATGTCTTACTCACCACTCAGCGCGAGTGTGAGAGACGCCACAGAGCCTCGGAGCTCCTTAGGCCGGCTTGCGGACACACGGGTACCGCAAGAGGGCAAGACCGGTGGGCGGTCGAGCCGGCGGGGGGCTGTGGCGCGACGGTGGGAGGTACAGGCGGCTAGGACACAGGGATAGTCACACAGAGGCCTGCCGGAGAGCTGTCAGGACAGACTCCCCGCGGCTATTTATTACAGAGCTGTCTTTCGGGTACAACCGGCAACCATGCGTTCACTCCTTCTCGTCATGCCTCCCCGTTCACTCATCCAACTGGACACGACACGACCCAATCACAGCAAGTTTCCGGTACAATCCGTCCCGTCCAGTCACACGCCAGCCAGGACACCCCAGAGATCATTCTCCGTCAAGGAAACCCTCGGACAACTCCATCCTCGCCAGCTGGCTTCCGGTGGCTACCCTCCGTCTTGTCATCCGCCAGCCCGGACACCATCACGTCACGACTGCCAGCTTGTCTCCCCTCTTCCCGTAATCCGCGCCCATCAACCTCCGAATCCCGGCGGGAGTGATGGCGTCACCGCATCCTCGTTGCGTGTCCCATCAAAACCGGGTGGCAGGGTTGGTGTCGTCATCGCGGTCGTGCCGAGGGTTGCCGGTACAGCTGATGGTCCACCAGCGGGCGCTTCTTCCATGACGTCATCGTGGACTTGCCCCTGTCGCCTCGCCTCGCGTCGCTGACGTCGGATGGCCCTCCGCCAGGCACGCTCCTCCGCGCGCAACTCCACGGCCGTGTACAGCGGCTTGCCAGCATTGACGCGTCGGGCCACAATCGCGCTGGCTTCCACGAAGGCGGCGGAGGGCAGTACAGCGGCGTTGGGTTCAGTCTGAACCCCGAATTCCTTCCGCTCATGTGGGAAGGTCTCGGAGGCGCTTGATGGATGTGTAGCCGCGTATTCACGGCGGGTCACGCCTCCACCCTCCACGCGCCAGCTTCGGTCATCGGAGTACGGTACACTGATGTCCAGGCTCACATGTACTTGGCGGTAGTAGAAGCTCAGTTCCGCACCGCGCCAGGCACTGATCCGCCCCCCTTCGCGTTCGATCATCGCGGTGATGTGTTGACGGAACGCCTGAATCCCCATGCCGGCATAAGGCCGATGCGGATGGGGATGCACCTGGAGCGCCCAGGGGCGGTACACGGCCTCAGGATCGTAGTCGGGGTTCCAGTCTGGCTTCTCCCCAGGCCCAGGCAGATGTCCTGACGTCAATTGTGTTGATTCCGTGTGCTCGTACGCCTCGCGCGCCTGCTCCTGGAGCTGATATCGTAATGCCTCCTCCCCATGCTCTCGTTGATGGTGCAGCCATTGTTCATCTTCGGCGCTGAACGGTAGGATCACCGTGAGCCCGAAGCTCCAATATCCTGGCGGGCAATCAGCTCGCTCGAGGTACCACCTCGAGAGCCATAGATCGCCGAAGGCGAGCCACTGAGCGATGAGTAAACGCCAGCTTTCGACTTGCCGAAAGCGCGCTGCGGTCATGGCTGCTGGGAAGGCGCCGAACAGCTGCTGGGGAGTGAGAGTGGAAGGCGGGGCTCGCTGTGCAGGACGGACAGAGTGCAGGAGAACGCCACTGTGCGCTTTTGCCGTTTTGGAGGTCTTGGACGGTGTTCGGATGTCGGACTGGTCGCTTGGCTGCTTGTGGGTGTGTGAAAGGATGTCGGGATCCTATGCTGGACGTCAAAGTTGGACAGAACCGTGGATGCTGATGCGTAGTCAGGCGCATAGGGCATGAAAACTGTACAATGGAGCTGATTCTGAAGTCGTAGTCGCTGAGCGGCTTGATCTTGTACAATTCTGGTCAGATTGTAAGTGTTTGATTGCTCCTCATGTTGCCACTATTTCCAGCTGTGAGATACATCTATTCTCAGAGTTAAAGTTGGGCGGCCGATGGGGCTGGGGATGTTGCCTGACGATGCTTGGAAGATGAAGTTGATGGAGTCATTTGCCATGTCATTATGGCCTGGAAATGGCCAACTTCAACACTGTGTGGGGTTAATGTAAGTGCCGACTGTTACACACTGTCGTCGCTTGGAGCCAGTGGAGGTGCTATTTTGTTGGCTACCTGTGATGGACCTACCTTATCGGCACCTGGCACGGGAAGTTCCCCCATGACCTAAATCCGTGGCCCTGCTAATTTCAAGCACCGTGGTTGAGTCCAATTGCATGCAATTCTTGCACTTTTTCAATTTCAAGGCCTGGGACATAGTTTCACACAAGAGGTGCTGAGTATCATTCAAAAACGCTCGCTGTGGCCTGAACTGCACCGACCCAGGACCCCACACTTTATGCAAGGTAGATGCGGATCTGTTGGTACTTTGCAACAATGCTCACTGGCGAACGGACCATGCTCCAGCATCCAGTCCACTTCAGAGCGCCAGCACGCTCTGAAAGGTTTCCAGAAATGCGTACATTCCAGCCTCCTACATCCCATCATCACAGCCAGCTGCACGCCCGCTACTCAGTGCATTGAGTTTCCATGGCCCTGTTGATCTCTCTGCGCCAAACAACCCAGGAGACCCCCCAGAGGGGAAAGCTGCGGCTTTGCCCGGGCAAGCATTCACGTTGAATCTGCCCGCTATGCCGCAACCATCATCAATGTTCAATCTTCACGTGCGCATCGCTGAACCGTCAATCTTCGTTTGGGCCATCCTACGGCAACTGTAGATGCCTGGCAGCATCACAATACACGAAACACACCCAACTCTGACTGTGGACTCAGGGGACAAATGTAGTTAACGAGTTTCTGACGAGGGAGATGAGAACACGTCAGCAGCCTGGGCGGGGCACCACACTGTAGTGGTCGCCCCTGGCCGTCGCTTGGACTTTAGGGTCTAAGGGCTGCGAGTGATGGCTGGTCAAATATCTGTATTTAGTGTGCTGTTAAAGGAAGCCACGGCCAGCCATTTAAGCGGGAAGGCTTGGAGCGCTTTGTTGAGGGTGGCGGGCGCCACCTACTCATGGTGGCGCCCTCTGACCGTCTCCACCCATTTTGTGTTCCCGCCCGCCCATCCCTAGGAATTTGAGTTATGCTTGAAGTCTAGTGTGTGAAGTGCAAAGCACTGGGGATTGTACTGTGGTTTGATTTGCGAAGAGGAAATCTATGGTACGACGGTCATTGGGCTTTTTTGGGTGGCCGACATCTGCTGGGAGAAACTGCAACGCACTTGGCAGTGTGGAATTGGGCGGGAAGAGTATCCTATCGGGCAGGAATTGCATTTCAAGGCGTCCTTAGCACTGCCTCTTGCATGACGCCGATGATGGCTACGTTCTGTTCACCCATGATGGAACGGCGGTGGGAGATTGTCATGGCAATGGAGTATGGAAACGACACGTCAAGCTGTTGTGCAGATTCACCTGGGTTCAGAGCTGTCACCATTGCATGGATTGCAGCCCACGTGGTGATGCTGCCATGGGCAGCGCAATTCGCCACCATGATTTTGTGGACGGACTTCAGTGTTCTTCTGCGGGCAATTGTATTCCCATGAAGGCAGCTGGCAAATTCAGCACAACCTTGCCAAAATATTGTTTGCTTTCTCTGGTCGTGATCAAGTTGTTGCTGCATCAGCGCTGCTGTTTGGGGTCCGTCAGTTGCGCATAATGACTGCACCAGTTGACAAACACAGAAGGGACCTGCGGAGCGGACACATCTCGATATGCATTGCCGATGAGGTGTCAACAACCTCGGAGAATGCAATGCACGATCCTACCGGGTGTCGGGGGC